CGGTTTAGTTGTGTTACTTTTTGATTTCCTTTGTCTACTGCTTTGAGGGTTTATATGGCGTATGGGCTCGAAATTCTACTTCGGTCGGCGAAGCGCCTACATAGCTTAGCGTTTCAATAGATAGGCTTCATAAGGTTAATACAATTTTGATTGATTGATTGATCGACGACAACTGATACCTACCGCGCTTTCGCCCTCCCTATTCCCCTTGGCTTATATAAACATAGACTGCGCATCTATACACCTTTGCCGCATGAAATATTAGCCGGTTCGCTTACAGTCTCGAGGACTTAGTAGATAGGTATGTAGTAGACCGATTACGCCGCCGCCTATAGGCGGCACGTAGGAACATATCATCGTAGTAAAGCCCAAGGAGAAGAAAACTTCTATTGGAAACAGAAAGTGGAGCTTCCCGAGGGCGGTAGGACAATTAGGCCAATCAGATGCATTATAATGACTCACTCTTTTCAAGTGCTGAACGTCGAATTATATATCTGGGAATGCTGTGGAAGATTCTGTGGAAGATCCCGGTATTCGCATGAATCCGGGATATTCCATCTTCCTGCTGGCGAGTTCCTCTGCAATCGAACCGAAAGATTCCTCCATTCTGATCACTGCATTTCGCATATAAACAAGGCCTCTTTCTATGTAGTTGGATGATCATCAGAATAATAATACTTGATTTCATAAGTTTTTAATCTTCAATACTGCTTTCAATACCTCGAATTCCAACAAATGCTACTTACTGTCTTTTCCACAGGTTCCTCTAAAATTCCTCAGTGCGATTGTTCCTCATCTCAGCTGACAATTATAGTTGATTTATGAATATTTCTAATATTACCCGGCCAACCTTCTAGTATCGACACATTAAACTAGCAGCCTGACCATACCGACCTCGCGACCTGCTGGTTCCATTTCACGCGATGTAGCCTGCGCAGTAAACCAACTCGGAAGGAAAAATACCGCCTCAGGTAGATTCAGCCACGGTTCCAGGGTTGAGGACAAGGCAGCTTCTATCGCAACAGGAGATCTTTCCCAAGGCTTTGGTAAAATTAGCAAGTCCACAAAGCAATCAGCCGAGTGCAATAATATGCGATAAGAATCAATGTATGTACCTGCCACTGGATCAGCTCTATCATGTCCATCTGTCTACCTGTTTGATGTTGAATTTTCCGCCATAATGGTGGTAGAGGATGTTCATCCTTTGGTGGTTGTTTCGCATAAATCCCGAAGTGGTCGACGCTTCGGGGTGTTATAAAGCAGTTTCATGAGTCGAACCGGTTCTGATCGCTATAGAGTAAAAGAATTAGCTCGAGTCGATGGTGTAAAGGATAAAACGGCTGAGAAAAGCCGTTGTATGAACCAAAAACCTCTCATGAGCTCCATTTATGGATGAACTCCCTTCCTAAGCGGGAAAAGAACGAAATTCCTATGCTCTCCCGTATTACTTATCATACGTATTACTTATCATAAAGGGTGATGTGCAAGGGTATTTGTCACGGAAGAGAGAAAAAAGAACAAAATGATATTGTAGCTGTTGAGTAACCAATATTTATTGCCACAGACCACCGGTTAAGTACCAACCCTATGAATGACGGCGCAGCGCCCCAACCGTATCAAATAGTGAATAATACAAAGGCCAGAATCAATCACCACTCGAGATTCGGATCTTTCTCAGAACAGGAAGGCTCCTCGCGAGTCCATTCATAGATACCTCCCCTGGACACAAACCCAGACTCATCCCAATAGACACTGTCAAGGGCATCTTTGACCGTAACCTTTAAGATTGATGCCGACGGCTTTTTTCCAGAGCGATCGAGGAAACGCATATACTCATCAAGGATCAGGTATGTTTTCGCCATGAGGCTGTTGGGCTCGGCAACGAAGGAGGTCTGGTGGCGATGCTTGGCACAGAAAAGTTCGTACTCCTCGTCGGTGATGGTGAATTTTCGGGCATCTCGGAGGGTCTCTGAGGAGTTGTTCTCTCCCTCAACAATTAGAACCTGAAAACATTTCCACCGAAAGGGCTGCAATTTATCGATGAACTCGTTCATGTCTTCCTCGAAGTTCAGCTTGCAGACGACGGTGTTGAGCTTGAACTTGATTCCATATTTCTTGCAAAGGTCTCGAATCTCAAAGAGCTTGTCCACCTGATTGCCCGATCCACGACCAATCTTGATGTTTGTGGCTTCGGTGAAAGAATCGCACGAGACCGCGAGGATGTCGATATTTTTTCCGTGCTTGGCTAAGAAGGCTTCGGTGACCAGACTTCCATTTGTAACGATAGAAACAGATTCAAGATGAAGAAATTCTTTGCAGTAGTCTATCATCTCGCCAAGAAACTTGAGGTGCAAAAAGGGTTCACCACCAGCAAAATTGATTTTCTTCATTCCGGCGGCTTTGAGGGCGAACAGACCGCTTCTTGCATTCGCTGGAGCTTCAATGTGTGAAGTCTTGGCGGTATGGAAACAAAAACCACAGGATTTGTTGCACAGCCTGCTGAAATGGAAGTTGACAGAGACGGGGATCTTGCTTTTAGGGGAGAAGAAATATTTGAAAAGTTTCTGGGAAAGATAGATAATAAGAATGGTGGTGATGAAGACCAAGTTGGCGTTCACAGAGTATGAACCGATGGCCATGGTGTTGGAAAGCATTTTGCAAATGGCTAATGATGGCAAAGGAGGAGAGGGGGATGTGGGATGATAGAAGGATAATAAATGAGACTGGGAAAAGCGGCTATAAATAATAATCCGTCAGCAAACGCAACGTTACGCCAGGAGCAATCGCATCGTCGCCAGAAACCATCGCATCACGGCCAGTAACAATCGCATCGTGGTCAAGCACTAACCCCAACGAAATATCTCGCTGCCTACTCAGCCATAATCCCCAGTGGACCTCCCAGTGAAGTCATCTCTTCCTAACCTCTTTCCATCCACCAGAGATCTCTCCATATTATCCAGCAGCTACTACGCTGGCCTCCCTCTAAACCAAGACCAAAATCCATCAAATACTCAACGAACAATCATCATGGCGGCGCCACTGATCCCAAAGAACATCTACATCGTCGGAGCCCACTCTACTGGAAAAACTACTCTCATTGAGGCGCTGAAGGTGCATTTGACCCTCGGCCTCGTCAGACAAATCTTCGGTCCCACCGTCGATCGCCCTAACTACCTCGCGGAGGTTGTCAGAATGGTCATGTATATGTACGACTATAACGCGAACGATATCCGCGACCCGGTGAAAGGCTACATGTTGCAACTGCGCACCCTCTTGAACCAGTGGGGTATGGAGTCCATCTTCAACAATCATTGGATGATCTCTGACAGATCCGGCATCGACCCTATCGTCTACGCTCATGTCTTCCTCGGCGGCGACGAATCCAGCAGACTGCTCGAGACGCCTGCATGGAGAGTCCTTCGCGACAGAATGAGACAAGGTCTGGTAATTCTTTGCGAGCCCTGCAACGCGACCTGGCTTTCCAGCGACCCGGTCAGAGTTGCTCTCCACAAAGACGAATGGTACATCCTCACCCTCGCATTCAGAGTTATGCTTCGGGAGCAAGGTATAAACTTTGTGACTATCCCGGCGAACATGGAGGACATGGGAGATCGTGTTCAGTTTGTGGAAGGGCTCATCAGATCTGGAATTTGAAATTACTGAACAGTCTTGTCATGTATGTACTTGGCGATTCTTGGGAGGTCTGGACACCATCTGGATTTTCTGAACACCGACACTCTTGTCATTTATGTACTTGGGGATGCTTGACATGTCTGCCCACCATCGGGCTTTTTGTTCGACACAGGAGTAGTTTGAATGGGACAATTCTGCGGATAGAATGATCATGCAAGCAGATACGTCGAACATCCCTCTCTATACACTCTATCTTCCGCCGAATCTTTCGAAGTAAGCTGTCAGCTTTCCCTTAGGCTCACCGGGACAGAAAGCCCATGTGTATCTCTCCATGAACCTAGTAATTCTTTCATCCATCTCAGCCATCTTGAAACTCTTGTAGAGCTCCAAGTCATCGCCGCAATATCTGATCGGATATTCCAACTCCACTTCACCCACAGTGTGACCGAAGTCGGTGACGTCCTGGACGATGTTGAATTCTTTGTCGGCAACCCAGCGCTTGCGTAGAGTTGAAAAGGCGGCCATCTGGCTCAATCCGAATGCTTCTCCTTGGACGTTTCTGGGGTATCCAGGAAGCTGGGACAAGTAGCGAAAGATCTGGTCATGTCCTGAGAGTTCTAGGAACTTGGAGTTGTTGTAGTCGCCGCCACGTCTGATCTTGGCTTGCCAGTCGCCGTTGCGCTGACGCACCCAGACTCCCTTGGATGAGAGGAAGCTGGAATCATCGTAGTAGACGTCGTGGAAGGTCTTTCTGCCGCGGGATTCGATGTTTTGGAACGGCGGGATTGCCTCGTAATGAAGCAGGTTGCTGACCCTGAGGCAGGTGAACTTGCGCTCCACTTCGAGAATCATCATCTCGGCGAGTTGACCGGATATACCGGATGACTTTTGGTAGGGTTTGAGAGGTTTTTTGAGGTGAGGAAAGCCGAGAAGGAACTGCAGCTCTTTGTGAGGGTGTAGTGCCGAGCCACATGCGGGTCTACTACGGTGACAAGGGGATTCACTGCACGCGTTACACGCTGATCTGCGGTTGTTTGCCTCATTCATGCGTCGCTGCGTATTCTTTGTCCTCTTTCTCTACGTAGAACTTTTCCATTTCTCTCTCCCCCCAGAGCTTCTGTCCGGGCATACACAATCAGCCAAGATGCCTTCAAAAGTCCCCGAGCGCCAAAACTACTTCCTGCGTTCATCACGAAACAGGGTGCCCTTTCAGCATTTCTCTCGCATTTTAATCATTGGTTAGTCCTATCTTCTATTCCCACTATGCCCCCAAGTCTCTAACAGGAAGGTTACAGGGGCCCCCGGCGCAGGCAAGGGATCACTCTGCTCCAAGCTCGCGACCCAGTATGGCTTCCATCACCTTTCTATCGGCGATCTCCTGAGAGAGCAAGCGGCATCCGGGTCTCTCAGACCTGATCTGGTCAGAGCCATTCAGAACAGTGTCTTGCTAGAGATCGATGACCTTGTCCTCATCCTCAAGCACGCCATCGAAGAGCTCGGTAGGGCGGGTAAAAGGCGACTTTTGATCGATGGTGTTCCCCGTTCCCTTGATCAGACAGCGCATATAGAGAGCGCGGTAAGTTTAAAAATTCAATCAATACCCCATGACCGTCTGTGTATCTAACGTGAGTTCAGGTTGGCTTGCCTGATCTTGTTCTGTTCTTTGATTGTCCCGAAGATCTCGCCAAGCAGCGGGTCCTTACCAGAAACATCCCGGGTAGAGTCGGTGACGTGGAGAGCTTTGATGCGCGATACAAGCACTATGCCGAGGAGAATGAAAAGATCATTCAACGTTATAAGGAGAAGGGATTGCTGCTGACGGTAAGGCTGTCGACCCGATCCAGTCTCTTGGTGGCGTTTACTAACGACCTCTAGATTGACACAAGCGGCGATGTTGAATCTTCTTACGCCAACTTGCTTCAGGCTCTGCGGTCCAGGATTTGAATAATACTGGGAAGAAATGTGCTTTTCTTTTGTTGCACTTACCCTAATGCGCGACATGGTGCGGGTGTATTCTTAAGGAAGGGAAAGTCGACCGAGGGGTACGTAGTGAAATGATATTGAAGATACCTGGTTCCTCTTTCCTTTAAAACAAGTACATAAATGAATTTCTGACCCCGAACACCCAAATAGTCTTTTACTGCCTGAGCCATGAATTAAAAACACGAGACACTCTAGGGTATCCAGTCCTTGCGCCAAGAATATTTAGTTTCGATGGAAGGCAATTAACCTTAGGATTGCATGATGCATCTCAACGCAGCCAGAGATTTAAAAAGAGCTGGAAACGGAGACGAAGCCATGGAACCACCAGATAGTGGATATACCCATGCGAATAACTTAGAGATCATCGCATTGGATATCTCCGGACCATCCACCGACACACTCGGAGTCCACGCCTCCATCCTCAACATCACAGTGCAGATGTCCATTGACATTGCGAATGGCGCCGTCTATACAGAATTAGACGACCCTCTCTCTCCCTCAAAAATGAAAAACCAAGAAATAAACTTACTCAAGTCCACATCCACCAGGTGTCGTTCTCCCGAGCCGTCCTGACAGAAACAGGACAATGTGCCATCCCAGCTAGCGGAGCACATCTCGCATCGGCCTGACATGCCACCGCTATTTTTTTTTCAATATGGTTAGTTACAGATCAGGAATAGCATGTAGCAGGAGGCATACTTCTTGCGGGGGACAATAGAACCATCATCAATGACAGCGTAGCAATCGCTCAAATCAAGGGTGGTTCGTTCGTAGAAAGAATTTCCGTCATCATCCTTGCCGGCACATTCGATGTCAAGAATGGGTTCCCCGGAGAACATAGTCATAGGGTCCTTGCAGCTACCGGAGTAACCACCGTCTGCGACGACAACCGTAGAGAAGGTGAAAATGGAAAGAGCGGACAAGAAATGCATCTTGATATGTTGTATTCAAAGAAAGTAATTCAGTTGGATGAAAAAAGAATGAGCGAATGGATCAAAAAGTGACTGAAAGAATGAATTGTTTTCCTGCTGTGAGTGTTGAGAAGGGAAATGGTCATGAGAGGCAAGCCTCCTTTGTACAGGGCTCTCAGGGTGGATTAATCGTGGGGGTTGTGACTGTTGTCGGCCTGGCCGACGCATTGGACCCATTTCCGTCCCAATCTACAGTATCCACCCGCCACGATATTCGGGTGTTCATAGTCCAAAGCACTCAGCCTGATGCTATCTGGTTTTCCTTGGGCAGATTGATATCTCCACTTAATATTGATGATGCGTAGCCCCTGACAGCTGCGGACATTTTGCGATCTATCTCCGGTTTCAATAGAATTAGGAACACCTGCTATAACCTAAGCGCCCAATAAACCACCCACTGCACCACATCACTGTAGGCGTAAGGTGTAATTCCGGACCTTCTTCTTTTTCTTTTCTCCCCTTGTTTTTCTCGAGTCGGATTGTGATGATAGCCCGTTGACGGCCATCACACGTCATGAGCGAAATACTCACACCCCTATTTGGACCCCAAGCAGCGCAGAAACCGCGCCCTGGCTACTCTAAACTAATCTCAGATCTAGTCCGCATGAATTAGGATTCTTGCCGATCCTGCTAATTTAGCCCCCATACTTGGCGTGCTTAGCCCCCTACTAGTTTGAGCCTCGGAAAGTTATAGCCAATTATGGATGATCAATCCCTTTTCGCAGGATTATTCTTCCATTTAACCGCAAGAGGAAGATACTTGAGCGATTTCTCCTTTTGAATCTGGTCTTGTAAAGCCCAATGTTCATAATCTAATGTTTGTAGAACAGTTCTGGACAAGAGCGTTGTTGAACATTGTCTCGAATACCTCCAAATGTGAAAAAAATTGCCATCTGAAATAAGCTGGGCCTTGACGAAGACACGTGTAAAAGACTCGAGGTCTTCCGGAGTCGGATAACAAGGAATATTCAAGAGACTATTCTAGAAGCGCAGGGTCCACTCAGAAGGTGATGTCAACCGAAGTGGGTCAGTGTTACATACAATGGGGTCCAATTCGTTAACCTATCATTTTCATACCTCCTGTTGGTTCTTCTGCACTAAAATGCTTATTACTCTTTAAATCCTAGGGGTTAAGCTTGACCGTGGTATCTTCGCCCCCCGAAGTACGTATCTATACCATACCATGCCGGCATTACTAGGCCCCAGGGGCTTTTAATCAAGATTTTCCGTGGACAGGATAAATTTCGCTCTTTTTTCCTGGTTGCTGTTTCGACCTATATTGACGATATTGGGCTTACTTGAAAATATTCCTATTGCCATGGCCCATAACATACCATTTGGTGGGGGTGTCTCATCCTCCATTTCATCCTTTATTCTGGGACGAATCAGGAAATTTCTGTACTACGTCCGATACTCCGAGATAAATCATTTTTTGCGTGGTTTCCCAGTAGTCGTTTATTCAAAAATGTTGATGGTAATCGGCCCGTTCGCGACGGCCCGAGTCAGGGTTTTGGGGGTCATGTGCAATTTAATTTTGGGCCGTTTTGCAAGAAAGGCACTTCAATATGTCAACATTTTGATACAGGAACTAATGTAGGTGTGAAATTTCCTTTGGCGATTTCCTGACCCCGTGGCACAGCTAATACCCAAAATGGAAAGAAAGGTAACCAATGAAGAGAAACAATGAATGCAATACTCGCATGCACTAACAAACCGAGCTAACAATCCTTCAGCCATACTCTGAAACAGAATTCTCGAGGTCTGACATGAAAAAGCGTTGAAATTGACCAGCGATCCCAATTTCTATTCTCGTCAAGCCTCACTCACTCACTCCCCTGACACCTCCCTCAACCTCCCCTCCCTCCATCTCAGACCAGATCTAATAACCAGGCCAATGAACGGGCTAAAAGCAAGCCAAACCCCGGCTATTACAACGCCCATCCACCCGATTCCAGCGATGCGGTTCAAAGGACCGGTAAGCGCCACACCCCCGGCCCCCATCCAGCATCGAGACAGGTTCAGCGCCGCAGAGGCGGTGCCCGGTCTTTGCTGATTCAAATCCATGATCAGATTATTGAAGCAGGAATATGCGCATGAGCTACCAAATGATTGAAAGAATAGAAATATCAAGGGCACCGCGAGATGTGTTTGGATTTGCAGGGTCCAGGCATATACGAGTAGCATGATACCGGAGAAGATGATGAATGGGATGCCGAGTTGGAGACGAGCGCGCTCGATAGGGAAGCCTGTGAGATCTTGCTGTTTGTCCTTGGAGATTTCGATTCCGAGCATACGAGCGTGACGACGGAAGTTCCAGTCGAGTAGACGGCCAATGACCACAACGGATGACATCGTGCCGAAACCGGTGGAGAAATAGCACAGACTGCCTTGCAGTGTGGTGAGGTTGTACTTCATTTGCAGTTGGTCGGGCATGCTGGATAAAACCATGTAAGTGCTTGCGTAGATGGAGCCGCTGTATAAAAGAAGAATAGACGTCTCCTTATCGGTGAAGAACAGACTTAGTGATCGCAAGGGGTTGATTTCAGATATGTGGAATTTGTGGGAGCCGTTGGGAGACTGAGACTGGATCGTGTTGACATGGTCCCCGTTGCTTCGCAACCAAGTATGAAGATAGGAGATTATGCACGTGTTCCATTTCGGGGCGGCTATGGAACCATTTCCGACGATTTTGCGACTTGTCTCGGGGAGGAAGATGAGGAGGATAACGAAGACGACTGATGCGAAGATGGTGAGGAACCAGAAGATGGGTCTCCATCCCAGGTATTGACTTAACAATCCACCAATTATCTGTTGACGTACCCTCCAGTTCAGAACAACGATATAAAATACTGACGATGGAGATACGGCAAAGCTTACTGGTGCAAATGTCGGGCCAACCATCCACCCCAGTTGAACATATGAGGTATAACTCCCCCTTTCCGCCGACGTCACAATATCCGAAACTATGGCTTGGGATAGGGGAATTGTTCCACTGATTCCGGCAGCCTGAATACATCGCATTGACATCAAAACTGCATACCTTCCCTTCACAGCTGCACCGATGCTGCCAGCAATGTAGAGGACAAAGCAAATGATAAGCGCGGGCCTGCGACCAGTCTCGTCGGACAAATTCCCTGTGAAGGACGGAGCTATGCCTTGAACTATCTATGGGGTTGAAACGATCAGTTTACTATCGACTCTCGTAGAAAGTCTAAGGTTTCGACTTACTAAGTAGACTGTGATTGTCAGATTGATGTCATTGACTGAAACAGACAACTCTCTTGCAAGCACGGTGATCACGGGGTAGTAGATGCTCGCTGTCAGTGGTGGAAGCACCGTCGTAAAAGCAGCTATTATAACAATAATTATCATCTCCCGCCGATCAAATACTGAGTAAGGAGGCTCTTTATTTGTGTTATATTTCGTGCCTTGTGCATTTGTCGAGTCGGAGACTGATTTCTCGAGTTCGGACATATCGTTTGACATCGTGCGCTCGTTTGGACAGGTCCTTCGGTTGTGATTGAAACATTAGTTCTTGGCTTATTGATATCAAAACATTTCCCTAGTTTCTCTTCCAGCTGACGCTTTCAGTTGCTGGGACAGCTGGAACGCAGATGCGCCGCAAGGAATTCAGTAGGGAGCCAGCGCAGTCGTACGTAGATCGAGCCTGAAGCGAATTAATGAAACCTTTTTGTTGGAATTTTAATAGCGCAGATTCGTAAGATTACCTTAACCGACCCAACTACTGCGTTCAGAAGTTAGTTCTGGGGGGTTATAAACAATATTGGAGTACCGGAGCGGGCACCGAGATGCCGAGATTCGTCCCGGTCTTCGTCCCGGTGCCCTTGGGGAAACCGACCTGAGCCATCTCCCCCGAATATCGGGGATTAAAAACTAATAATATCGCGAGACATGTAACGAATAATGCTCACAGCTCCCCTGCGATGAGGAAGACGTGGCAATACGACCGTCTCATAGATACACGCCGGATTTCGCGCTATCTTGCGCCTCGGGCCTCTATATGAAAGACAAAAACCGTCTAGTAAAAGAAAGAAAAAAAATGACCCAGAGCTAATAGTTTACATGAGAGGTAATCAAACTAGTTAAATCATATTTCCGTGGGACTGGCCTCAGAAGGTATGGTCCGGGTCCAGCAGAAAATCATATTCGTTGAGAAAATATTGATCGAATATCCCATCAGAGACCAGGTTGAGATCTCTCGAGGGGGCATCAGTGGTTGATAACGGGTCCCAGGACTCTGGCACATTTAAAACGGTCGTACTATCCCGTAACTCATTAAATACAACTGTTCTGTGATTGAGAACCTCCTCAATGCCTTTCGTAATGCTGACCAGCAGGTGTTGTGGATGCATGGTTGCCGACACTCGTTTCAGGATAGTCAACAGCGAGATCATCAGACGGTGTGTTTCCTGTGTATCAAGCTGAACGAAACCGGAGAAGCTAGTCGAGACCTTGAGTAGAAATACCACCGCAAACGCTAACATGATGTGAAAGTAGGTCGGTAATCCGTTGAGGAAAGACTCTATCTCATTATCTAAAACCACGGCGCGTAGGATTGATATGGCGGAGAGGACGGCGGAATTAGCAATCTCCTCTAATTCTAAAGATATCCCCTCGGAGTTGAACCTCGATTGGTCGGATCTCACTCCCCGAAGAGCATGCGACCCGAGATAAAGCTTTGCGAAATGGTATTGTATCTCGACTCCTTTCCGCGGATAGTTACCAACGTGGGCATTACGAGTGAACCTATCCATCCATTCTGCACGGAGAGTATCCAAAGTGATTCCCAGACAACGTACATGGGGAATGTCATTTTCGACAAGAGGACGGTCGACGTCGGCCCCGAAGGTGTCATAAATGTTGGAACAGGCACTCCATCGAAGGACCTGACTGACCAGTCGCGCGTCATCCTCGGTGGCATCTTTACATTCCAGAAAGCTGCGCGCATTCCGCACGGCCTCACATTCGCGCGTCATTGGCGGTCGGCCGTAAGGAATGGAAAAGTGATGGTCACACGCGTAAACCGAGTAATATAGCCGAGCCCGAAAATAGTGAGCCCGGTCACCCTTAATAGATTTTGGAAAACTCCTGTGAAGTTGCATTTCAGTAGCAATCCGTACGGCAAGCCCGGCCAATGACCAAGATAAGTCGCTGAGCCAGAAAGCACCGATGCAAAGCGCTCGCACTTCGTCTATGGTGTTCTTTCTGGTGCAACTCATTCCCGCACTGGCAGCGACGAATTCCTTGTATAGCGGTTCAAAGTCCGGAGATGCAACATGCAAAGCGCCCACTGCGCAGACGGCTGTCATAAGGACAGGCGAGGATTCGCGCACAATTTCCATTGTCGAAGTGCTATGGTTCCCTAGGATACGATAGACGAAATGGTCGAGGCGGCTTTGATACTCTATAAAGTATTTCAAAGCATTCGCAGCACTTATGACACCACGAGAGATGATATCTTCAGTGGGCTTGCCTTGCGTATCTCCTATTTGGTGAAGGTATTGTCCGGGAAGAGCACCCGGACTGGAATCCAAATCGACCACGATTCTCCAGCGGTTATCTTCGGCGTTGGAGGGTTGCTGCCCATCGCGATGGTTTGATTCGGAGAAAGTTGTTTTTCTTGTATATCTGTTATCCGTATTCTCTTCGCCTCGTTGAAGACAATCGGGTCCAGATCTACTATTAGCCATGGTCGCCATTGTTTCTTCCAATTTCTGAACCTTCCGTTCCATAGTTTCTTTCCACCTAAGGGAGCAATTAATCAAAAGAGAACATACAATTAAGCATTACAGAACTTACGATACATCACTTTCCAACAACATTTGCAGACTGCGATTTATAGTACAAGGTAGTCCCTTCTTCTTGCATCTTGCACATGGTGGCTCTGAATCGTTCATATGACATTTGATCTAGCTTTCGATAAGCACTATAAAAAATCTGACATTCGCATTTCGAGCAGAGCACACCTTCTGTTTCCGACAAGCTACACAAGCCGTTATTTTCCGAGTTATATCCGGGGGCTTGGGGTCCCCAAAAGCCTCTCGAAGCTGGCGGATGGGAGAAGGACCGCTGAGTTGCTGCCTTGGTGCCTGAGGCTCGGTATCTAAGTTCCTGGTCCGCGGCGCCATGACGGACTCATCCGCCGATTTATCGCACCGCCGATGATATTTTGACCGGTTTCGATCGACCTTAGATCAACAACTGCTGTTTGAAAGAAATGTCTAACGGATGTAATGAATGAATGAGAAGACGGGGATTCAACGGTCGGTGGTCGCCCCGAGGCCTTAGCGATTCAGCACGTGACCGTGGTGTATCAGTCAGCGCGCTAAGCCAACACCGGTTAGGCCAGATGATATGTGACAACTCAGGGGCCACGCAATGTTCACGCATCCAAAGAAGGAGAGAGGTGAGGCAGTCGGGTGCGACCAAGTAATACGCTCGATATTGTTTCACGAGACAGCAGCACCGCAGCATGCAAGTCATCCAGCCATATGCAGGTCCATCCAACGATATGGCCCCCGCGTGCAACCCATTGGCCGGGATACAAGTGAAACATGATCTCCTCAACGGTTGTGAGACATATTGTGCGCATAAGATGAAAAAAAAGGAGTTCTGCATACCAACAGTTCATGCAGCGTGCCAGATAATTGGTGACCAAGCTACTGGGTCTGTCCTGCATTTGATGACTCGGTGAGCCGGATACCGGTTGCCAAAAAGGAGTGAACATCGCTCATTCCCTGCCATGATGGACTCTCTGCGCTATCCGAAGACTCAGGGAAAACCGGCACAATCAGCAGGGTCTCACGGCCTAAATGATGGCTGAAACAGTTGCTGTGTATTTGCCACCATCGACGTGAAGCCCCAATCACGGACACGAAAAGCCCAACGCCATTTAATCGGCCAGGTAGATCAGCCGTATAGCTGAAGATAATTCACCACTGCAACCCTGGCATCCCGAGTCTGGCTTCTGACTGAGACAGCTTATCGCTGGACTTGGTCATGATCATATTCTCAGGTGGTCGGTAGACTACGTTGGCGGGATCCAGCTAAGGTTGAATAACCGCAGCAGTGCAAACCTGACTTAGCATCAGTAGGAGGAACAGAGTGCGCATATTTTGATCTTAATAATGCCCTGCAGCATTAGCCTCCCTATCCGCTGAATATGCAGGACTTCGCCCACGCCAAGAGGCTATTCCATTCATCCCGCGAGCTGACTGGTTGTCACCGCTATAGGGCCATCCCGGTATGCCGCTAATGCACGGTGACTGCCTCAGCACATACATAAGCCTTGATCAATTTTGGGTCACCACCTAATCACGTTCGGCTGCTGCACCAGATCACAGGCCACCGGTTTATGACGTGCATTCTCACCTATTCTTAGAATGCCCATTTTTCTCCCCGCACAGCCATGAATGAAACCAGGATTTCCGGTTTTCGGCCAAAATAATTCTAGGAGCTGAAAATTAATGTGTTCACAGTTGAGGCAGTACATTGGAGTGCAATCAGCATTTCGTCTGCACCTGCAGGAACCATGCGGCCCGTTGTCTCAGTTTGACACAGGTTCGATTCCTGCTTCCATAGTGACTGAATTAAGTTCTCAAGAATAGATGCCTCCTTTCTACCAATAGCATGATCTACAGAGACTCAGGATACAGGAATTATCGCATTGTTGGGATCGGGATCACCCTGGATGAAGGCTGTTTGAGATTGAGCACAACCCCGACCACCTTGTTCTCAAGCTAGATTTTACTTTGTCTAGCACTTATTGTGTTGGCGCAGCACAATGCCTAGAAATCACCTCTCGATGGTCTGCCAACTAATGCACCCAAATCATGAGCTAACACTTTGATATTAATTTGAGGCTGTGAGGCAAATCAGGACACAGACTCAGCTAGAAAGCTGTTGGCAAGGTGTCTTTCACGGTACCAGTTCGCCTTGCCTATCAATGAATACTTGGGATTCTAAAGACAAAGCAAAATTTCTGCCCAGGAGGGTGATATCTGAAACAACAGCCAAGAGAGCCCAAATGGGTATATATATGGCGTTCAGCCATGTCATGAACAATAGGAAAATACAGTCCACTTCACCTCTCCCATCATCAAATTAACAAACTGCAATAAGATGTCACGTCCCCACTTCCCTTCGACTTCCTCTCGAGGTCCCCCCTCCCCTTCTCCTCTCTTCATTCCACGTCAAACAAATAACCAAGGTCAGCATCTTGTCAAACAACCCGAGGACAACGATCTCAGCGGCAAAACGCTGGTCAGCATAGGGTTTCATAGCTCTCCAAGCTCCGAATTCAGCATCCACAGCTCAACGGACCCAAGTTCGGATGAACCCAGTCCTGTTCTTTCTGGACTCGGGATCCACTGTAATGCAGTGAGCCCTCTGAAGGAGCGACCATCGGCGGCTCACCTTCCGCGAGTGAGCAAAGAGACATTGGTACAATCACCTCGTCAACAACATATCTCCAACCCGTCTCGTCGGCACAAAAGCAAAGCTCCGAGTTTGGATGAATTGAAAGATCGACCTTTGCCACCGCTTCCTTTGGAAACTAGGCATAGTCATTCCAGGTCAATGGGCAATGGAGCTCAGCTGCTCCGTCCAAAGGGACAGGAGACCCCGTATGCGTCTTACCAGCGGCGGGTTAAACACTACGCTCTCCCCGCGGAGCCACAACAAAAACACTTCAACACCATTGATCGTGCCTTGGAGCGAGCCAAAGAGGAGCAGAGATGGGTGGATTTGCGTCCACTTGCTCCAGTTGAAGGGGCACTGCGGGAGGGCCGAGTACGGAAAATCAGTCATGGCGCGCGAGTCCGGTCCCAGATCGCGATCCCAGAGAGTGTTGACGAGAATGCCGAGCTGCAGCCGCTGCTGCACACAGAAAGCCCTGTGTCGGAGGAGGCAAAGAAGGTCGAGGTGTCCATAGTCGCAGAAAAGACCCGACCATACTACGTCGACCGCAAGCAATCCAGCCTTCTTGGCCGAGCTGTCCAATGGCTTCGGCCTTCATGGTCACGCGAAAGGCTTCGATCACGGAGTGCCCCTACTCTGAAGAAGCAATTCAACTCAATTTCAGAGAGTGCGGAACCTGCCACAGCACCGAAAAAAGACGCGGAAAAGCCGTTCACTCCACCTGAAGCACCACGTGCCCAACCAGCTCAGCCTTGTCCAACGGAGCCTACTGCACGGAAACCCCGTCCTCATCGCGACTCGGTCACACGCATGAAACGCGTTCTCTCGGCCCTTATGGACGATCGCATCTCCCTCTGTCTGAGCAACCAGTCCAACGCAGAAGATGAGCGAGCTCTGACGCAGCTGCTTCAACGAACACAGCAGCAGCTACTCGAAGGCCTCCGCGACATGCCTCGGTCCCGTGGTAAAAGGAACGAGACCCCGTTCCTCCAATCCACGACGGTATCTCCCATCGCATCCGCTCCGTCTCTGCCCATCCACTCCCGGCAAAGGCGCAGCACACATGAACTTGACAGTAAACCCCTACCTCGTCCTCGAAAGGGGACACCGGCGCCTGCCAAATCCTCGACCTCTGCGCACGTGTCTGTCATGTTTTGTATTCTCCAAGAAGTCGACAACCTAGTGGACCTATTCTCCTTTGCTCTCGTCAACCGTGCCGCATACACAGCACTTAAGTCGCATGAGCTCCCACTCATCAAGTCTACCCTGTGGAAAATGTCCCCCGCCGCTTGGGAACTCCGTGAGATGAGCGAAATCCGCTGGGACAAAGCACCCTACACCGGCGGCCAGAGCCTCGCCGCAACACTGTACATCCGCCATTGCACGATGGACCTGATCAACCACGCACAGATCAAGTTCCTGCTCTATGACCACGCACACCTTATTCTCCGCGAAGACACCTTGGCCGCGATGCGCGATGGCTGCTCCACTCGTGCCATCGAAATTGACGAGGCTATTTGGCGTGTTTGGACGTTTTGTCATCTATTTGGCAACCACAAGAACAGGGAAAACGACATTATGGGGCAGGTACGGTGGCTGAGAGGGGATTGCTTTGTCGAAGGAGACGAGCATGATCTTCCAGCGGTGTGTGCGACGAGTCCCGACCCCAAGGACTTCAATACGGTTTTCTTTTCTCCCCCAAGGGGCTTCGCGGCAGGGAATCGAGGTCTGCTGTCCGAGACACAGTTGCGTGATATGATTGAGATTTGGACTGCGATGGCGTCTTTGTTGGACTTCTTAAGGGACGAGACAGTCCTGGCGAGACGATTCGGGGTTTTTGACGGACTTGATGTTCCGGTTGGGGACAGGAGGTTGGAGAAACAGGCTTTGAGTATGCTTACACTTCCTTCCTTCAAAGCTTTGTTTACGGAATCAAGTCGCTAACTTCGAATATTAGGAGCGTGGTTGAATTACATCCTCACCCTCGGTCCTACTGCGGTCCTTTCGTTGGTCCCATTGGGCCCACGCTCTCCAAAAGAAAGCATATTCTCTCGTGCGAACTCTTATGGCTGGACCAAGTGGACTCCTCCCCTCTCGAGCTCTCTCGAGAATGGCTTCTTTGTTGGTGTGGTAAGTGAATTGCTGTCCGCTATGCAGACTCGGGAAAGGAGGAATAGGAACGCCCAACTGCAGGCCCGGATTTGAATGGCATTGCACACTATGAACTGGATGAAACTTTTGAGTATTCAACTTGGGTACGTAGCAATTATGGGGTTTCCTGTGTACATTAACCGAGTGTAGCATAGTTTCTATATACTTGTAAATAAAAGATTGATATGTAGTCTGTGCAATTTATTCAGTCGCCGAAAACAATTAGCAATATATCCCGATTATTACCGTTCTATTATATAAACCTAAAGCCATATCTTATTCATAACGGTCATGTCAATAGTATTATTTATCTCATTCTAATATCAGCAAGAAAAGCAATCACTCACATTTTCACACCTAGCTAACACTAAATTAAACCCATCTCAACTACCTCCCAATCACATCAACACCTCCCAACAAGGCTGAAACGCTCATAAAGACCACCAGCGAACCCTACGACCCAGCATACGCATCCCCCACGCCTCTCCAATCCGTCTTCATCAACGCGTCACTCCATGGCCGGCTAATCACATTACCAATACCCCTATCCACACAAAGGAAGGCAAAGACCATACCGTCATCCGCATACGGATTCTGTTTTGTCACGGCCATGGAAATAGCCCGCCATGTCGAGGCGAACGATCCGGCAAACAAGCCATATGCCATACAGAAGACATACAACGGGGGCTAAACTCATTGATACGCCCCAGAGCACGAACACCGCGATTGTGCCTCCGATTGTGGATGTCATGATACATGTTGTAGCGTGGTACCGGTCGACGAATGTACCCATTATGGTAGAACCGATGATCGTGCCAATGTTGAAGAGGATGGCGGTTATAGAGGCGTTTCGATTCGAGGCCCCTAGGGTGCGCGCGTACGAGGGTAGATAGATAGTAGGGAGGAAGAAACCGAAGGATTCGAGTGTGTTGCCGAGCTGATAGATGTCAAAAGAGCGTTCTTTCAGGAAGCTGCAATTTAATGGACGGGGGCGGTGGCTAGATGAGATTGGTTTTCGGATTTTGATGAACAATCATAACAGGGGGATGGCTATGATGAAGACCGTTATGGCGAAGATCCGTAACGTGGTTTGGTATCCGTGGGCGTTTAGTAGCAGTTCAAAGACTATGGGGAGGATGATGCCCGAGAGACCGGTTTCTACCTGTTTGCCTGTGAGTATATTAGGGAGGGTTATGTTCGTTTGTGGGGGGCGTGGTGGAGTTTCAAGTAGACTTACTCACATGATGCCAAATGCGAGACCCCTCTTGCGCTCGAACCACTCGTTCATGAAGATGACCAACGGTGTGTATGCGATGCTAGACCCGACGCCGTACAAGATGCCCTGTGAGAGCATCAAGTGCGTGGTAGTCGTTGAGAACGAGCTCATAGCCAGCGCCAGGCACATTATCAAGAACCAACGAGACACGCCCATCGACGAAGGCGAAGATATTTGAGCAAGACACCAAATGCCGGCGGTAAAACAATATAAGTAGCAGTCAGCGCACAGGTTCCGATGACGGCAATATTACTGGATCCTGCGAAGGGCGGATGAGTGCTATAGTAATCCTGAAAGATGCCGAAAGCGAAGCTGAATCCTGATTGTTGTTAGCTACATTCGCAACTCCTCAATAAAAAATAGACTTACCCCAAATCAACCCGTCCAAGATAAAGCAAGCGGCCAACAAACACTAGGCGTCTTTGCTACTATCGACGGGAGGAATCCGAGTGCCATGAGGCCCGACTTTCGGGAGTTCGTCCATTTTCAGCAGAGAAGTTGGCTCTTCTATGATGGCTATGATGAAGAGAAAGAGGGCTATAGAATGTGCGATGAGGAGCTTCTGGGTTTAAGCGTTCACCCCCTCTCCTCCCCCCAACTCGCCATGGTTTTAGTGGATTGTCTAATTACGTTGAACTTTTTTTCTCCGGTCGTTTACTAAGAATAACTTTGTTAGAGGAGGAAATTTTCTTTGGGTCCATCAATCAATCAATCAATCAATCAATCAAAATTCTATTAACCTGATGAAGCCTATCTATTGAAACGACAGGCTATGC